ATTATACTCCAACTTCCCCAAAAGTAACGTGGAAGACACGAGTAAGTCCTGTCCTGAATTTTAATATCAAAGACAGTGTTAGTTCTTTGAACAAACAGTATTACAGTAGAGCAAGCTCACGCTGTGGGGCTGGATCACCAGGAATCACATCCCAGCTCTGAACTTGAACTTTCTTATCTGTACAAAATCAGCATGGCTGTGAGAACAGGCGGGGATTTTATAAAGCTCCCGGCCGGTAGGTGGCAGGTACTAATAAGGAATAGTGACATCAGTACACTGGATTTATCCTGAACGTGAAGTTCTCGGAGCACTTTCACACCTCTTATCCCACTGGATCGTGACGGTGTTAACTTGGCCTGTTTTTATAATACCGGTGAGAAAACTGGGACTCTAAGAGGTTAGAGTTTGGCTTTCCCAACACACCTTCATTTGTCCTGAGCCAGCTGCCAACCCAGCCTGGGAGGCTGAACCACTTCGGTGGTTTCTGTGGGGCGACGGTTCCTAGGATGGATGGCTGAGTGAACTTCCCCTGGAAGGTCACCTGGGCCCTGCCCTGTCGGTCCTGGGGCCTGGAACATGGGATGACTTCTCTGGAGGCAGGTGACCTGCCGCAGTTTGGGTTCACCTGGAAACTCATAACCTGCTGTTTCCATCTGGAGGTCACCATTGCCTAGTGAGCAAGAGGACAGCTTCTGAGGTCCAACCGGCCGTATTTGAACCTGCTGTGCCCGCTCACAGCCCTGAGCCCATTACCTGCCCTGAGCCTCCACGACTCCCCCTTAGAGTTTTAAAAAATGTTTTATGATGACATCTGCCTCCCTCTTTGAGTTGCTGTCAGGATTCAATGAGAAAATGCAGATGAGAGTTTTAACAAGAACCAGGCCCATAGTAAGCGCTGACAAATGTTCATTGTTATTATTGCCTGGAAAAGGGGCATGGTCATACCCCTCTACCTGTTGCTGCCCAACCAGGTTCATTTGCCCGCTGCCCAAGAGGAAGCCAATACGCTTAGACAGCAGGGCTTACGGCAGAGAGTTTATTTCACATAGTGCTAAGCGGGGAGACGGGGGAAATTTCTCAAATCCGCCTCCCCAAGAATTTGGGAGACAGGGTTTTTAAAGACGGTTTGGCGTAGGCAATTGAGTCTGCTGATTGGCTGTGTTGGGGCGGTAGTAGAAACTGTTGTCTTTGCTCACCAGGTTCTTGGGTGGGGGTCACAAGACCAGTTGAGTCAGTTCCTTGGTATGGACCACTGGTCCGGGTGGGTCAGGGGTTCCACTGGAATGCGGGGCCTGGAAGTATGTCAGAAACTACCCCTAGGTTTCAAAAAGGTGATGTTATCTATGGAGAAAGCTAAGAATCTGTATGACCACCAGCTGTGTGGCTCCAGAGTGGCAATTATAGAGAAGCAAACAGGGGGACAGTGGCTAGTTATTATCATTATTTTTAGCTTGACCTGTGCCTTGTTTTTAGCTAGGCCCTTAGCACAGTTCGTGCCTTGTACTCTTTTATCAATTTATAAAGGCGTATTCATACCTACCTCCGAGGCATCTGTTGAAGACCAAGATTCAGCGTGTCTGTGAAAGGCAGTGCACACATGTTTTGACATGCACAGAGGATGCTGGCAACGGGCCATTAACAGGGCGGCAGTAAGGAAATAAATCCTACCCCTGCCTGCGTGGTGTGTCCTTGAACATCGCAGAAACTCTCTTTGCTGATACTCGTATCCTCCAAGGGGGAGAAGACGTCAGGGGGGGTACCTGCTTCCACCGCAGGTGGAATTTTGTGACACTTTCAAAAGCCTTTACCTCCTGCGTGCAGCTGGCTCTGTTTTATGGGAGTGGAAGTTGGCACTCTGCAAAGGGCATGGCAGCGACTCACAGGCTTAGTGACTCCGGCAGATGGACACAGAGCTCTGGCTGACCCCAGGTCTGGCACTCTTTCGGGCTGCCTGATGGGGAGGAAGTGTAAAGAAAACCTGGCACAGTGAAATGACTGTCAAGTCTAAGACACAAACATGATCTCACTCAACCCCTACAAATATTCCGGGAGGGGTGTTATCATCTCCCTTCCACAGATGAGAAACTGAGGTACAGAGAGGTTGATTTACCCTTGGACACAAGCCCAGGTGACAGTGGCAGGCATGGCAGTCACTGCTCTCGATGCCTTCCCGGCTGACTAACAGAACAAGACTTTCAGGAAAAGGCCTGAGAGGTCGTGTCTGAAGGTCAGTTTGGAGGAAGCCCAGGAAAGCCCCAGTTACTGTCAGGGAAGGGATAAAAAGCATTCACCCTTTCCAGGTCTCCAGCTGCCCTTTGTCATTTGCTGCCCGCCCCCACCCCCAAAACAATGACAACCCTGGGGGCTAAGGTAACTTCCAGGAAATGGCCCTGCCAACCCTGACCCACTGTGCCTGGGCTCCCCACACTCCATCCTCCCTGTCCAGCACAGCCGATGACTCCTGCCTTCTCGCCTCCTGAAGAGGAAGCCCCCGCAGGACACTTGGTCCTGTCCAGCCACTGTTGCCACCACTGCCCCCAAGTGGGAGAAGCCACTGGTACTGGCAGAAGCATCTCGAATAGCCCTTCACTCCCTCACTTCAAGCTCCGTGGACTCACCAGCCCTCTCTGAACTGCTCTTCCGACCAACCATCCCTCTTCTGGAATGTTCTCATCGTTTCCATCCTGCTCACTTTTGCTGAACTTTGGCACATGCACTTAGTTCTCTCAACCATCTGCTTTCTTCCTCTCCTCCGGGAAATGTTTCATTTGTGAGTCTCGTTTGCAATAGCCCCTTTCTCCCCACCCCACACCTGCTGCCCCCTAGTCCAGCTTACCAAGAGTTCCAGCTCCTCCCTGCAGACTCTCCCAACGATAAGGAAAGGGAGCTCTGAAATTTCACCTGCCCCGATGGATTACCTCGTTGGCTGAAGAGTGGGTTTGCCTAAACTGCACTGTAGTTGCCTGGGCCTGGGACGCTGCGCTTCTTCCCCAGGTTAACACCAGACAGAGCACGAAGGGAGGGAGGAGCCTGGGGAAGGCAAGGGGACAGGTTTGGGATATTACTCTTTTTAAAATGGCGTCATGGGGCCGGGCACGGTGGCTCACGCCTGTTATCCTAGCACTTTGGGAGGCCGAGATGGGAAGATTGCTTGAGGTCAGGAGTTTGAGACCAGCCTGAGCAAGAGTGAAGCCCTGTCTCTACAAAAAGTAGAAAAATTAGCCGGGTGTCATGGTGAGCACCTGTAGTCCCAGCTACTTGAGAGGCTGAGGCAGTAGGATCGCTTGAGCCTAGGAGTTTAAGGTTGCAGTGAGCTAGGCTGATGCCACGGCACTCTAGCCAGGGCGACAGAGGGAGACTCTGTCTCAGAAAAAAAAAAGGCATCATGGAAGACATTTGACCTTATAAAAGTGGAGGATAAAGTCAAGTTGAAGTGGAAAAGCACCAGTACAGAATCTGAAGGTCAGACAGAGAGAGCTAATCTGGAATCTGGAGCAAGGTAGGAGGTGGCAAGGGGAAAGGCCCTGTCCTTTCGGAGAGTCTGAGAAACCCCGACAGAGGAGAGTCCACGGACACTTGAGTGAGATGCACTGGCGCCGTGTTCGGCAGGTAATAAGCTGGATTTTCACTCTCACGTTGCTTCTTTCAGCTCGGGCTGAGAGCTGCGGGAGAAGGCCAGGCAGATCATCCTAACCCACGTGCCAGGGCACAGGGTTCCACTGGGACCCGCCCAGCCCTAGCTGGGGGGCCTGGGACACCCCCCTGCCTCCCTGTGGACCTCTGTCCGTATCTGTAAAATGAGAGGTTAAGATTCCATTCGCTCAGTCATGTAACAAATATTTAGTGAGCAGCTTATGTGCTGGGCATTGTTCAAGGTGTCGGGGATTCAGCCATTTTCAGAACAGACAAAAATCTCTTCCGTCCTGGAGCTCGCACTGGAGCGGACGGTTTCAAGGCAGCTTCCCAACTCTCACTGGACGTGTGCTCCTCTGCCCTCTGACGGTGCCCCGTGCTCCCAGCACGGTGCCACTTGCCAGGCTTGTGGCAAACTGGACCTCCAGTCGTCTGGAGATCGGGAGCGGCCCGATTTCTCTTTTTAATTGCCCTGTTCCTTGTTCCCCCTTTAATGTAAATGTTACTTAATTATCCACATAGAAAAGTGCACACACACTAATGCATTTTCAGTGACGGACACACGCGTGTAACCAGCACCCATACCTGGAAACAAAATATGACCCGCACTCAAGTAAGTCCGTATGTCCCTTCTGGTCTCTGACGCTCCCAACATAGGGAAAACCATCTCCAGACTTCTGATACCAGGTCTTAGTTATTTTAGCTTTATGGGAACGCTTTCGTATGTTGGTTCTTTCACTCTGTGTTATATTTGTGAGATTCATTCATGTTGCTTCACTTGGTTGTGGTTTGTTCATTCTCGTTATTGTACAGTATTTCATTATATGAAGATTCAATAATTTATGCATTTTACTGTAAGTGGACGTATTGATTATTTCCTGTTTGGGGCTATTACTATTAATACTGCTGTGAACGTGTGTGCATCTGTCTTTGGTGCACCTGTTTGCATTTCCCAGGGAAGCTGTTCTGTCCCAGGATATGTGTATGCTCAGTGTTAGCAGATTCTACCAATTTTCCACAACGGAAGTACAAAGTAGGTTCCCACCAGCAAAGTATGATAATTCCGGGCGCTGAACACTCAGTTTCTTTTACATTGTAGCCATTCTGGTGGGTGTGTCCTGGTATCGCATGGTGATTTTAATTTGTATTTCTCTGGCTTCTAACAAAATTTCCCAGGGGATCCTGTCGTTGCATTTAAACGTGACAATGAAACAGCCATCTGTCCACCCAGGTCTTTCCCTCAAAGACATTGCAGCTTTCTTGGACACCCCCCTCTCATGCTATTAATAGTAGCAAAGTCAAGAGTAAGTAAGTCGTTTCTGTCCACACTTCTTCCGCAACCCCTGACTGGCTTTGTGTTTCCCCAGTAAGAAGAAGAAAAATGTCCCCGAACAATCAGTCAAGACCACGCGGGACCGGGTGCCCACATATCAGTATAACATGAACTTTGAGAAGTTGGGCAAATGCATCATCATAAACAACAAGAACTTCGATAAGGTGACAGGTGGGTGTGTGGCGTGGGCCACCCTTTCCTGGTCCCTTCTGTTTTCTCCAATTTGTATCAGACATTCACGGGAGAAATGCACCTACTGCGACAGACAGCCCCTCCCTCTGAAGGTGGAATTCATATGTCCCCGGCAAAGGGATGCAGGGAAATCGAGAACCGTCAGCCTAAGGTCGCACTTTCTATGTTAGCTGACATGGGACTCGAAGCAACGGGGAGCTGTTTGGCTTTGATCTGCTGTGGGCAGGCTGTCAGCCTCTCCTTTGAATTTGCTTCTCATTTTCATGTAAATCGTGACCTTGGAGGGACGTACTTCACGCCCAGCCTGCAGACACCTCACGTGGTGTTCGGCCAGGGGTTGCTCAGCCGTGGACTCTGGCTTGGTTCCCGCAGGTATGGGCGTCCGAAACGGAACAGACAAAGATGCCGAGGCCCTTTACAAGTGCTTCCGGAGCCTGGGTTTTGACGTGGTCGTCTATAATGACTGCTCCTGTGCCATGATGAAAGATCTGCTTAAACACGGTGAGTGCTTACGGCTCCTCTGGCTTCCTCCCGCCCCCGAGAGGAGCAGGGCCCGGCAGTCTCAGGAGGACGTCTTCGCAGGACAGAGGGATTTCAGCGTGGGCAGCCTTCCTTCCTCCTGGCCGGTCCATTCCTGTCCGGGGTAGGCAGGTCTCTCAGGAGACTTCAGTCTCTCCGTAAAAAGATGAAATCAGCTTAAATTCCGGCAAGAGAAATAGGTTCTGTATATACAGAATGGTCACAATTTGAAAAGGCTAATTCCTGGGAAGTAACAAGTGTGTATTATCCTGTCCGGAAGGAAGCTTAAGTGTAAACTTTTCTCTGCTGGCAGATAGGGAATAATAATCCCCATATACTTCAGAACTACTATTTTTTTATATAACATATTCACAAAATTATTTCATTAATTTTTTGTGAGATTTTTAACACAGCCCCCACAGCATTGGCCAACAGAATATTATCATGCCCATTTTATAAATGTGAGGATGGAGCTTCAGAGAGGATAAAAGACATTCTGAAGGTATAATTAGTAGGGGCAGAATTGGAACCCAAAGTCAGGTCTTCCAATGCCAGGACAAATGCATTTCCTGCTACATCCCACTGTCTAATGGATGCCATGGGGCACTCTGGCACTTAGGGCAAGTGTTTGAAGGTGATATCCTTCTAATGCATTAGACGTGGACCCACAGGCACTAGATAGGAACACAGTTCAAATCACTGCTGCTTTTCTTAGCTATGCAGCTAAAAAAGAAAAGACCACACCCTCTATTTATTTTCTTTCAAACTCAGCATCTTTTCCTAATTTCTTCAAACATGAATCTTACAAGCTGACCTTTTGTACCTTAATAGGTCACAAGATAGAACGCACTAGAAATCAAGAGTTGCAGTTCTGGGTGTGGCCCAAGTTCTAACAGCTGGACGACCCAGGCCAGGCAACTGTATCTTTCTGATTTTTTTGCTTTCCTGAAATGCAGATCATGATACCAGCTCCTTCTGTTTCCTGGGGATGGAGTGAGGAAGTTTGGGAGCATGCTTTGACAAGTGTAACGGCCTATATAGGTATAAGGGCTTGTCCCAATTCTAGTTTCTGTTCTTGTGAATTCCACTCAAGCCCAGAGCATGTCACAATCAGAGAATTCTTATTTATTATCCTATCAAAACAATAAAGCAGTTATTTTTCTTGACTGTATGTGTAATCACTTCCACTGAGGACAAAATTCTCGTTTTCCAACTCTGTCCTAATTCATCCAATCTTAAAATAAGCTAAGAATTCCAGCTTTTATCACCATCACCTTGTACCGCTATTATCAAAACGAATACAAAAATCACCATGCAGACGAATGCAAAGGGGTCTCGGTGATCAGAGTGGGAGAGGCCACACTTGCTATGTTTGGGACCAGTGAGGCAGCAGGGCTTTGCAGTGCCCTGGGCTTGACACCTGGCTCCAAGGCTCCAGCAGGTTGTGTCGCCTCTGGACAAGGTTATGAAATCTCTCCAAGATTCCATTTTTTATCATTGAAATAAAGATAAATGAAGCTTACCTACATTTTGGGTGGGGGGTGGTTCTTATAGGGATTAAAGATAACTTGTGCAAAATACCTACATCAGTGTCTGCACATAGTAGATGCTCAAGAAATTCTAAATCTTATTCTTCCCCCATCACTGATCATAGAGAAGAAGAAAGGATATGCTTGTTAGTTAGTATCACAGAATCTTAACTGAGTTCAAGCTAGGCCAACTGGCTACATGATTGGTGATTCCTCAGTATCCTACATTGACAGCCAATCTTGCATTTTTATTTTCTTTAATTTGGTTTTCTTAATTGTGGTAAAATGCACATAAAATCTACCATCGTTACCCTCTGTATGTAGGTCAGTGGCATTAAGTATATTCACATTGTTGTGTCGTCATCACTACCGCCTGTCTGGAGAATTCTTTTCATCTTCTATAACTGAAACTCTGTGTCTATGAAACACTAACTCCCTATTTCCTCTTCCCCCCAGCCCCTGGCAGCCACCATTCTACTTTCTCTCTGTGAACTTGACTACTCAAGGTACCTCCTAAAAGCGGAATCATACAGTATTTGTCCTTTTGTGATTGGCTTATTTCAATTAGTATAATATTTTATTTTCTTTAACAAATACTTGCATGATGCTTATTATGTGACCTGCTTTACAAATTAACTCATTTCATGGACACTATGATCTCCACCTTACAGACAAGCAAAGCAAGGCACAAAATGGCTAAGTGAGGTGCCCAGCGTCACAGAACTGGCCAACAGCAGGGCCAGGCCCTTCAGCGCCCCAATACTCTGCCTCCTGTGGCGGCTTGAACACCTGTGGCACCGGGGCTCACTTCCTCATGTGGCAGCCCCATTCTGCTTTCAGACTGAGTGAGAATCTAGAATTCTCCCTCCCTCTAACTTCTCCCCTCCCCTCATTCTCTTCCGAGGACAGTGCAGATAAAGTCCAGTCCTTGGAGAGGAGCCTGGTCCCCAGCGCCTCCCCTCCCCTCTCCCCTCTGTCAGTGGCAGCTGCCAGGTCACCTCTGGGCACACTGCGTCTGAAGTCCCACAAGACTTGTGTTTTAACTCTTCAATGTTCGAATTGTTTGCTTGCAGCTTCTGAAGAGGACCATTCAAATTCAGCCTGCTTTGCCTGCATCCTGTTAAGCCATGGAGAAGAAAATCTAATTTATGGAAAAGATGGTGTGACCCCAATAAAGGATTTGACAGCCCATTTTAGAGGAGACAGATGCAAAACCCTTTTAGAAAAACCCAAACTCTTCTTCATTCAGGTAATCACTTTTCAAAAGCAATATAATTGAAAATGGGAAAAGATTACACAGTGACAGGGAAGGAGTCGTTATTACAAATCTATGTGCCGTTTGCACTGGGGTATGCAAACACGGGTTTTGTTTTTCTGTCCGAATGGTTGACATAGGTATTTGCATTGGATCACAAATTATGAAGGTTTAAGACACGGCAGCACCTTTGTTTGCTTAGTGTTCGACACAACATTCATTCATTTATCAGTTCATCACGTTGTCACTGAGCCCCTGGTATGTGCCAGGCACAGTTCTAGGCACTGGGACGCAGCAGTGAACAGCGCACATTTCTGTGCCCAGCGCCATGGAGTGGTCTCTGCTTCAATTGACATTTAGGCTTGCCGGGGGACAGAGCTTGACGACGGCATCCAGGCCGACTCCGGGCCCATCAATGACACGGACGCTAATCCCCGATACAAGATCCCAGTGGAAGCCGACTTTCTCTTCGCTTACTCCACAGTTCCAGGTACCGAGACCATCATCCCCTAACACGCCAGCCCGTTTCAACATTAGAATGCAGACTCGGGCATGTCTTAGTTTCCACTTGCTGCATTAATAAATTACTGTAAACGTGGCGGCTTTTACCCTGCAGTTCTGGAGGTTAGAATTCCGAGTGGGTTGGCAGGGAGGCTCCAGGGAAAAATCCATTTCCTCACCTTTGCCCAGCGTGTTCGAACCTCCTGCATTCCTTGGCTTGTGGCCCTTTCCTCCATCTTCAAATCCAGCAACCTCACATCTCTCTGACCCTTCTCCTCACTTTGGTCTCTTTCTGACCACAGCTGGGAAAGGACGGCTGTGATTAGACAGAGCCCGCCTCGGTTACCGCTCTGTCTCAGTCCTATAACCTTAGCCACATCTGCAAAGTCCTCTTTGTCACCTAAGGTAACATTCACAGGTCCCAAGGTTAGAGCGTAGATATCGCTGGGGACCATTATTCTGCCCACCACAGGGACGTATTCACTTTTTTCTCCGGGAAGGCTGAATTCCCTCATTTATCGTTACAATTATTATTGGTGATTATAAGAACATACATTTTTACAGTGCTTTACAATTTAGAGTGTTTTTCATGTTTTTCTTCTCATGTCATCCTTACAATAATTGTGTAGGTAGTTAGAAAAGGTGTTATTGCTGTTCTGATTTTATGGGTGAAATTGAGCTTGGGTGAGCTTAAGTGATGTGCCAAAGATCAGACAGAGATTTGGGTACACAGCAGAGCTGCGGCTCAGCCCAGGTGTCCTTTACCCTGCAACCTGTACACAGGTACCAGAAAATGCCAGTAATGAGCAAGCCTACTAATTGTTTACCAAGCACTGTGTTTGACTGAGTCTCTTCCATGAAAATCCTTCCTTTGTTTTGGGTAAAACATTGCTAAGTTAGAATTTTCCCTGCTGTTAATAGTAGGTTTGTTGAGCGCTTGGTGCAAACGTATTGGTTATGATAAATAGGTTGGTTGTGTTTGAAAATCCAGCTCTGATGGGATCTACAGATGAGATTTTTGAGAATGATAACTTCTTCACAAGTTTTAAGGATGGTATAAGATAGAAAATAATTTGATCTTCCTGCTCTTGAGAGGGAGCGGGGTCATAGGGGTATGTGTCTGTGTAAACAAACCCAGTGGTAGAGTCACAGGTGCTCCAAGCAAGGTCTGCAGGAACTAAAGGAGGAAGGTGAACTCTTCCAGGGAGGCAGGTGAGAGAGGCTATCCTAAAAATGAGCTGCTGTAACTGAGCCCTAAAAATTCAAACCGGGATAAGAGAAGGGTGGCTTGCCAGACAGAGTGCTGAGGGGTCAAGCAGCCTGATGCATTGGGTAAAACTCAGGCTGGCACAGGGTATGTCAATCTGCTTGGGCTGCTATAGCAATATACTCTAGACTGGGTGGCTCAAACAACAGAGTTAGTTCTCTAAGTTATGCAAGCTGGGAAGTCCAAGATCAAGGTGCTGGCCCATTTGGTTTCTGGCGAGGACTCCCTTCCTGGCTTGAAGTGGTCACGTTGCTGTGTGCTCACATGGCAGGGAGAGAGAGAGCAAGAGTGAATGAGCTCTCTGCTGTCTCTTCTTATAAGGACACCAATCCTATTGGATCACAACCCCACCCTTGTGACCTCATTTAATTATCTCCATAAAGGCTCTGTCTCCAAACACAGTCACATTGTGGGGTGGGGCTTCAACAAGTGAATTTTGGGAGGACACAGTTCAGTCCATAGCACAAGGTGTGACGCGTCATGGCAAGGGTCAAACCTGGACAGGTAGGCAAGGGACTCCGTCGTGGAGGGCTCTGTGTGTTGTGCTAAGCAGCCCGAACTTCACCCTGGTGAGGGGGTGCGAGGGAACTGTTTTAGGTCAGGGAATCATAGGATGAGACTTGTATTTTCGAGTGGTTACCTTGAAGACCCTGTAGAACAGGGCTTAGAGGATATGAGCCTGGAGCGCCCCCACAGGTTATTAAATTGAATGAAATAATATGTGTGACCCCCTCTTCCCCACAAATGAAATGCATTATCATGCCACTAAGGTCAAGCTTTATGCTGGTAGTTTCCAATACCATGAGCTGCAGGAGAGAATTCTAAGTGGACTCAATCACTTGACACACGCAGGTTATTTCTGTTTATTGTACATTGATTCCATAACTATTTGTTAGAGATGATGATGACAACTTAGTTCTCATCAAGCTCGTCATGTAAACCAAACACGACTTTATTTTGTCTCACGCTGTCCTTTTAAACTGGGGCCGTGGGAAGGAGGTGGAATCTTCCCTTGCCCCTGGATGAAAACTCCAGCATGTTCATAGCTTTGTTCCTCGTGCTAAGATACTAGACCATATTGTGGTCACTTTCTAAAGTCACAAACAGTTGCGATACTGTAACCTGAACGTCCAGTCCGAGATAATAACTAAAAACCCCGAACCTGAGATGGGTTTAAATTTCTCCCAGTTCCATATCAGACCTGCTACAGGGCTAAGGTGCTAAGGGGGCCTTCAGCTTTCTCACCTCTTCTCCCACTTGCCAGATTGCTCTTTAGATTCTTTCAGGGTCAAATATGAGAGGGAGGGAGGAAAGGAGGGAGAGGATGGGAGAGGGGGAGACGTGAGTCTCAAGTCATTGATCTCTCATGCTGTGGACCAGATGTTTAAAGCTGGGGGCTTTCGAGTTCCTGTGTTCCCTGCTGCTCTGTCCCTGCTTAGGCATTGTGACTCCTTCTCAGCTCCTGGGCATCCTCCAGGGTACTTGTGCGTTCTCTTTCTGCTGATGTCTCCTTGCGCTTTCAACAGGACTTTTAGGCAGGACCCAGGACAACCCAAGAGCCAGCTTCCTCTCCCCTAGACCATGTGTGGTCCACGAGAAACACATGCCGTGCCCCGACAGTGCCAGCCCTCCCAGGGCTCTACCCCCAAGACAGTTGGGCGTTTAGCTACCTCTTGCCTCTGGATTTCTTTAGCAGGATTCAACTCTAGTTCTGTGTCCCCCAGAAACAAGAACACATCTCAGAATTCTCCGAGGTTCCCTGCAGATTCCTTCTCTAGGTTTAGATTAGAAAGTAGCACTGACCCCAAAAGGGTGGCGAGGAGTTCCAGAGTTACAGAGTGGTCCCCCGACATTTCTTTTGGAAGTCTTCATGTGCAGATTGGTCTCGCACTCACTCACGTATCGGATATGTATCATGCGGGTACATCCATCAAAACCGATGCAGGAGGGTTCCCTGGCAGCATCCACCAACACTGGCCCTTTGTGATGTCGTGTTCTATGCTGGAACACTTTCCAAAGCATTTTTTAGCATCTTCATGCAACCCTCTAAATCAAAGATGTTTACTCTCTGAGCACACCAGCGTAAACACCAGCATAATTCTCATTGGTGACTTGTGTGCAGAGTAGAGTGAAATAATTTCCGAAAAGTAGGTGCGAAAGCCCCAACACTGAAAGCTTGTTGTCCTAGGTGAGTGGAGCAGCTAGCAGAATCAGCTGATTGATCTTCTCCTTTCTCTCCTGTTGAAGGCTATTACTCATGGAGGAGCCCAGGAAGAGGCTCCTGGTTTGTGCAGGCCCTCTGTTCCGTCCTGGAGGAGCATGGGAAAGACCTGGAGATTATGCAGATCCTCACCAGGGTGAACAACAGGGTGGCCAGGGACTTCGAGTCCCAGTCTGATGACCCACGCTTCCATGAGAAGAAGCAGATCCCATGCGTGGTCTCCATGCTCACCAAAGAACTCTACTTCTGTTAGTAACCATGCCAGGGTGCATCCTAGCTCAGAACTATGGATCATTCATCGATGAATCAAGATTCTTTTTTAATGCTCTTGAAATATCTGGAAATTCTACAGGATTTTAATTTCAGGAAAATTTATTGATTCAACAGGGAGGAAACTTTCTGGTGCTGTTGTATGTTCTCTGAATTTTCAGAGACTTTTTTTTTTACAATGTTATTCATTTGATGACTTCGTAATTTTCTCTTAAGACTAATTTTCTCTTTGTATTTCTTTCACCTTGTTATTGCCCTTAGTACGTGCAACAAAAGTGACCTCTGGAGAAGGCTCTGGGCTTTGTCCACTGTGACTGGTGGTGACACTGGTAAAGTCAGAGTCATATTTGCACTCAGCAAAGAGAACCCCCGTGTTTGACATAGAAGAGGCAATATTGGCCTGTATTGTAGAAAGTGGGTATTGCGTGTGACTTGAGTGATTTTTCACTGGCTTAGGGCAGATTCTCATGCATAAATTCCCACACATGTTAAGAGGAGAAAAAAACTTAACGATTCTAATATGTATCAGTCAGGATCAAGTCCGGAAAACAGAAACCATTTTAGGTGTTTCTGTTCCCTCAATAGAGGGAATTTTTATTTTATGTTATTTTTGTAGAGACACGTCTCACTTTGTTGCCCAGGCTGATCTCAAACTCCTGGCTTCAAGCAGTCCTCCTGCCTTGACCGCCCAAACTGCTGGGATTACAGGTGAGAGCCACCGTGGCCGGCCAGTAGAGAGGATTTCATACAGGAAATTGACTTACGTAGATGATAAAAGAGAAGCCAAATAGCAAGAATCTGTTACCACACCTAAGGCTCTGAGGATAATGGGAAGAGGCATGGTATCCTAAGTCTAGAAGCTGGATCATCAGAGGATCTGGAACCATGGTGAGGGCTGCCTGGTGGGAGCTGGGACCACCAAGGGATTGTGGAAAATGGAGCCGTGGCAATGACAAAGCCACTGCCTGAGATGGAGGCAAGGCCAGGGCTGAGTCAGATACAGAGAAATATCCTGGCCTCGCCTCTCCTGCCCTCGAGTCTTCTTATCATTCCAGCCCTACCGAGAAACCACCTGGCCGGGGCCCTGGGAAGAGTGATTTGCTTGGTATAGAGCAGAGCAAGGGCCAGTGAGGTGGGGGAGGCAAAAGAAATGGATGTAAGCTTGGCCCACAACGTGAATGTCACTGATCACTTTCTGTGATGTTCAGCAATGTACCCATTCAATCATCTATTCATTGGGTTGTCAGAGAATCTAGGTATGTGCAAAATAATCTGTTTTAGCTTTAAAGTGTATCTGGAACTTTGTAGATTATTCCAAACTTTATTCTGAATAAATTTTTATTACCTCTAATGCTGCAAGTGGGAAAGAGTTTACAGCAAAGATTTTTGGCACTTTGTTTTCAAGGTGGTGTTATCTTTGGAATTCTTGATAAAGTACCATTTTTTCTGCCTAATAACTGGTTAACAAAATGTTCGTATTTATTGATTAAAATGTGGTTGCTTAATTCCTAACTAGCCTGGTTTGCTTTCCTTTTAAAGTTACTTCTGGTGATGGGGAAATAAGAAAACAGGATAAGAATGGTCCTACTGACTTTCCGTCACACAAAATATAATACATAATGTTTTTAAGCTGGTACACTCATAAATTAATCCCTTGGGAAACCCAGACATCTCACAGAAAGGGTTAATCAACTTAGAAAAACATTTGTGATGGGCTGCCGCTTATTAATTTGGCAACAAAATCAGATGGTGTAAAAGTATCTTCTTTCAAATTAGAAAACTCAATTAGGGACAGTTATTAGACTTGTCCCTGGTTTCCTGCCATCTGAAATATTCCAGATGTTCAGAATTTAAGTGGAGATCATGAATCAAGGATCAACAAGCATCTACCGTACTATTCCCAGAATTCACAGGCCGTTCTGTGGAAAATAGGCTATCCTATTAAAGGTCGCTATCATAGAAATAAACGTGCCTAACTGCATTGCAATTTGAAGTAAAAACCATAGCACTCTACTTACTTGCCTTGCAAGCTTCATTAATTGGAAGAAATGATCCCAAGTGTCAGGGTTAATTTTTTCCTTAATTCTCTGAGAAGTTATAGGTTACAAATAACGAATATTATCTTATATTCCTTAGATCGAGATATAAAATTGCTGTTAAGAAAGAGTCTTTGTCCTTGAATAGTTTCGTGGGCACTTGTTTGTCAAGATCAGAAATCCTATTTCACGTTGGTGGGTATTCAGTCACACCTCCATTCTTAAACTTTCCAGTCTTTTGATATTCCGAAATTCTGATGACAAATGACCTAAAGGAGCACTCAGTCTGGTAAATATACATTCCCAGATGTTTCCCCTTGCAGGAGTATCAGTCCCGGCGCTGCCTCTGTGCTGTGAGGAACACGGCGCAGTCTGTGGTGTCCTCACTGGCATAATGGGCTCAAATCTGGGTTTCCGTTTTCTGTTTTGTTTTCCTTCTTTTCCTCAAGATGCCACTACGACACTAGGCTATTTAAAGTTTTAGCGGTTAATACATTCACAGACAGCTTTAGGCTCTGCCCTAAGCTTTTTCTCCGAGCACATTTCCATAAACCCTCATAAGTCCATTATGTTTATGAATTGCTCAAAATAGGTCTCAAAGTGCTGAGTTCATTGTAGTCACGTGATGTAAAACCTGAAGGAAACCAAAGCCCATCTGTGAGAAGGAAAATGATGTCCCCTGAAAGGTCATAGACTCCGGTTGACACATCTTTTGTGTTGTCCCCAATCTTGCAGCGCATCACTTGAAAGCTTGTTACCAGCTCCTCTGGTGACCGAGGATTGTCTTTTGACTTCCAGGGAGTATACCCTTTCCTCTAGCTTTTCATCTTTCAGTCCCTTGCCCAGAAAACATCTGGCCAGGTGAGAAGCTGTGCTGGTCACCTGTTTACAGCAGCAATTCATCAACAACAAATAGCAGTAGCCCAGGTATTACTTACTTCTGAACCAATGTGATCCTTCAGAGTTCTTCAAAGATATGCAGATCGAAAGGCTTTTCTGCACTACTTGCCTTGTGAATGTTTTGGTGTCTTGCAACATGGGGTGAGTGCATGAGTGAATCCACGGACTGGCAGCCTCAGCACCCCCTGGGAGCTGGTCAGAAGTGCAGACCCTCAGGGCCCATCCTGACCTCCTCAATGCGAATCTGCATTTTCACCAGATTCCTAGGTGATGCGTGTGCACATTACAGCTCAAGAAGCTCTATTTTGAGGGCAAGGACCACGTGTTTATATGTTTTTGTCTTCCTTGTGCACTGAACATGGAACTGATGGCATAGCAAAAAAAATTGTAAAAGAACATCTGTGTCTTGGAGCTTTCATGAAAGAGATGTTTTCAAGGACCTCTTAACCTTAAGCAAAACCCTCTTTTGAAATTCGAGGATACCCTTAAGGTACATGGTATACTTCTAACTTTCTATGCCCATCTTATTGCCAAAAGCTCTGCGCTTGTCACCAAGGCCACATCGGAAGAACAAATGGTTTGAGGAGAAGGAAAGAGAAGTTTATTACTTTGCCAGCAAAGGAGGAAAATGGTAGACTTTCTCATCTCAAAATCCAAATTCTTGAGCATAAGCAGAAATACAGAGCTTTTAAAGGGAGGGCCCTCAGTTCTAGGCTATTGTTAATGATTCTAATAGGTTCCATCTCTGCCTAAGACAAAGCCTGTGACCTCTGCCCACCTGGGCCAACCCGGGAGGCTGGCCCAAGCCGGGAATGGCTGAGCTATCTCCTGCAACACATTCTCCCTGCCTGAGGAGGCAGGGATGCAGGGGAGGCCACAGTTCCCAAAAAAGAGTGGGGGAGGTTTTAAAGAGGCAGAAAGTATTTTTTGCCTTTTTTCAGGCCATTCCCTCTGTTACACATTCCCCACTCTCAATTTTATGCTTCCATATCTGCAGGAGGAGGAGCGACTACTCTGTTACGGTCTCCAGTTGGAATAAGCCTCCGCTGAGTGATATCATAGGATTGTTTATGTGTTCTCAAAGCATCTGCGAATATGAATTGCAGCCGTTAAAATGTCCTCATAAACAGAATGGGATTAAGGGAGCCATTCCTTGCATATTTTCATTGGGTAGAACTGTTCTCCATTGAAGCCTTGGAGGGTGTCTCATCCCACCTGTCCTTGGAGCCCTGTGGACACTTGGAGAATTATTATCTCTCCTCGGCAGTGTGCATAGACCTCAGTGCTTTGTTTAGGATCAGATGGCAAATAATTCTTTTTGATTTATAAATCATTAACACAAACACACTCAAAGCACATATTTGGAAAGCCCCAGTCACCACCATAGTATCCATGTGGACATGGAAACTCCATTAGTTTGTAGATTCATGCACAAACAGCCTTCTAAAAGTACGTGACCAACATTTGAAATCACCGAAGTCAAATACAATGAGTTGGCTTTGGTGTGAGTTTTGATTTATGTGGCATTATAAATATTTATGGCACTACAATTTTCCAGCAAATTTGTTTTAAACATTTAAAGCTAAACTATGTCAAAGGATTTAAATTTGGAAGACATGGGGTTATGGCTGCAGATATTCAAAGCTGAGCGTTTCTTGAGCTTTGACGGTCTGACCTAAGCAAATAGCATGAAATTCAGGAAGAAATTGGGAGAGGGAAGTCTAAAGGCAAGATAGGTTTGGCCCATTTTGCTAGTTCCAGCTTCAGTTGTTTAAGGCAGATCTCAATCAGCACAGGATCAAACTTTTTAGCAGAGGTGCTTTTAACCATTCATGTTTAAAAATTAGGCTCTGAGTCCAATTCGAGTTCTAATGCCAGCTCTATCTTTGACCATTTAGTACTCATGTAACCATAGGCAATCCTTTAGTTTTCTCATCTACATGTGAGGATAGTAATGTTGTAAAAATTAAACGAGATAATGTCTGTGAAGTGCCTAGTGTAATGCCTGGCACAAAGTGATCAATAAGTAGTAAATGTCAAAGGTGGTGATGGTGATGATGATGATAATGACATGAGCCTCATGGAGAGGCAAAATGGAAGATGCTCCACTGGACTCTCCACTTGCTCTTTCTGCCTCAAGGATTGTTCCCTGATCATACATCCACTCGTCTATGCTTTTGTAGGGGTGAGGGGGAACTTGTCCTTTCCCCTGAAAGTTCACTGGAAGATCAACTCACAATGAAGGCAGATTAATAAGAGAAAGGCTTATTTAACAATACCATGTGCATGGTGAGAAATCACAGAGTGATCACCCAATATCCCAATGAAGTTCAGATATTTTTATACCTGTCTTTTTGGAGGGGAGGGGAAATGAGGAGTACAGGTAATTCTGTTTAGGAGTGACAGATGGATAGGGAGGACAAATGGATGAGGGTGACAGATTGACTTGTAAATGATTCTCTTTGCAAATTAAATTAACCTGAGAGACAAGTGTTGTGTTTGAAATAATCTGGGCCAGGTCTGCTTGCATTTTTGATCTTCTTTCCTGCAATATATAACAGGGAGAGGAATTGCCCTCTTTGATCTTTTGATCAGGTGGTCAGTTTATGCAGATAGAGGGAAAGCCCCTTCCAGTGCTTTTTGATCTTGCATGGCCTTTAATTCAAAATATTCTTTGTACCAAGGAGTCATATTTTG